ATATATATTTCTGGTTTAGAGTCCCAGCAGAATTTGGCTGCTCTGGAGGCCAGTTCAAGATAAGACACCTAATGAAGGTGCTAAAACTTCCATTCTGGTCAGTGGATATCTACTCAAGGCAGTCAGTAGGGGCAAGGAAGTAATTCAGCAGACAACTAATTAAAGCCCTGGTCCACTCCCAAACCATAGTTAGAGCCCTTCGAGACATTGTTGGGTATCTAATATACCCACAAGACTGGCAAACATGATACCCAGCCTACAGGTGACCTGCACCCAGTTGAACCGAAAGCTGGAGGCAATGGCATGGATGAGGACATCGATATACACATTTAGGCTGCTGAATCACAAGCTGGGTGTAGGCTCTGGGGCTAATCACCCTGGGCTCCAGTGATTCTCAAGAGCATTGACACACCTCTCACACATGCAGCTGCCTAAATGCAGGTGCCTTAATTTGCAGCTGAATCCCACTGAGTTGGATCTCAATGTCATGATGTAGTTTACCTGCACTAGCACTATGCTCTTTTGACCATTTCTGCTGCCCTGGACAAACTCATAATTAAACTAATTTAAAAGATTTCTAACTAAAATATCTTTAGTGTTCATGCAGCCAGCTCAGGCATGGCTCTCACTCTCCTTTTATCAGTTCTGCATGACTCTGCATTGAAAAGGGACTATACAATTAGGTCCAATTATTCCAACTTCAGGCTCTTTTTCTCCCAACTTAAACCCTATATGCAGAATTTGGGCTATACGAGAATTACACACATTACATAATTCTCTTTTTGTGGCTATTGGATTTTAACAAATGTCTTTTCAAACATTTTGCCTGTTTCACTCACTACAAATTCTTGATGTTCATACACACCAAGAGATGAGGGTAACACTGAAACTTTTGTGTAGTTTAAAGAACAATAAAAAAAGTTTGTCCCTCCATTAACTTTGTTTCATATGTCTTCCAAGATAACATGTTACAGAAGAACTGATCATCTTATGTGCTAATGCAGCTCACTGATGCACACAAAAAATGGGTTTGTAGTGACCTCAGTACAAAACTGGAGCTGGGAACAACCAAACTGACCCGGCCTCTCCCAGCTGGCAGTACGCGGCTTCAGCTTCACGTTTCATTAAGTGTCTCTGAAGTGAGAATAATGGCTCCTATTTTCTACACACAGTTCTTACAAGGATGCAAGAAGTAATATTGCAAGGCATTAAGGAATTAAAATCATTAACTACTGTTCTCTGGTGGGATTATTAGTGTTTAAAATCAGACACTACAAAAAGATGGCCTGGCATTAGTTGCACAGAGAAGAGAAAGCAGACAATGTTTTGGAGGTGGTGGAATTCAGTTAGCATTCAGTTAACTGCAGAGACACACTCCCAGTGGCACTGACAAAAGGGGTATCAGTTAAAATGAATACTTGTGTAAAATACTAACTGCTCTGCACTACACCCAGCTCCTGAATGTACAAAAAAAAAAAAAGTATCTATGGAAGACACTTTGCTTTTGCCACAAGGTAACTCAGAACAACACTGGAATTCACTAAAAGTGTTTCCACGGCCAAAGGCAGACTCTTCTAACGGTTTGCCATTGACTATTGTAACTCCAAAAGCATTTCCTCTTATTTGGACTGAAAAACATAATTTTTTAAATTATTCTTGTCAGTGACTCCTAGATTTGCCCCGTTAGGATGATTCTGAACTTGCAGGATTGATTGTATATTACAAAAGGAGACATTACCATGGAAAAGCGCACTTAGCAGCACACAATTGTAAACGGTACCTTCAAAGTCTCATCGAATTCTGGATCCACTGTGCTCTTTTTGACAACTGTCTTCCGCTTACTCCGAGGAGATTTATCAGGAAGTAAATAAACCTTAACATACCTTGTAGATAGAGAGAAGGATATATGAAAAGTGACCGGGGTGGGGGGGAACCAATACAACTAAGATGAAAAATTATTAGATGAGAGGAGGTTTTTTTCTTAATTCTTAAACAATTTTATTGACTTTGTAATTTTCCAAGCAATAAAATGGCAAGTTGTGGTTTATATCTTTTCTAAACAAAAGCAGACAGACTATAAGGACCCCTGTATATCATTGAGCTAATGTGTTTCAATTTTATTCTAATTGGGAAAAGATTAGGATCTGAATAGGAATCATTTGTTTTCATACTCTTGGTCTCTGATAAAATAGCCACCAAGGAAGTCACCTTGTCAGTTGTAGTGACAGTTGTATGATGAAAGACAGCATATTATATGCTCAAAGAAAAAAAAAAAATCAACTCAAACGATTTTAGGATCATTGCTGCTTATTCGTGAAGAAAATACCTCATCTTTACAACACAAAGTACCATGTAGCAAAAAAAAAGGTATAATCATACAAATAATACATCATAATTCATCACTTTTACAAATGCTAATTGTTATAGTAGCCATTAGAGTGAAAGTGGGAGATTGTCTGAAGTGCTCAAAATTGCCTTAATATTGATGCAAGGAAAACCAGTAAAAAAAATTTCTGGAAGCTGAGTTGCAATATCAAGCACTAATGATTCCTGCCCAAAGTTTCTCATCTGTAGGTCACATGAACTTTAATACTTAAATACCCCCTTAATATGAGTTCAGTGGGCTGGTTTTTTGTTATGGCTTCAAAACTAAAGAGTCTTAGGAATAGAGTGTGCTTGCTCATAGATTGGCATGGAAAGGAGTTATTGTTAACATAATACTAAATATTTTAAACCTGTACTTGTATATTTTTCATACATTATGATTTAAACCAATTTAAAAACAGCGTCTTGATTAACTTACCAGTAAATAAAATCAGCTATCTCATACCATCAGTGCAGAACTTACACATCTTCCCTATTCCTTCCAAACTTATCTGTATGTAAAACTGCTGTTTAAAATATTCAGGTACTACAAGTTTTAGCCTCCTGCTCTATCACCCCAGATCAATTTAATTAAAAAGTAGCCAGTCAGACTTCAAACCAGTCAACAAGCTAAATAACTCAACAGGTTTAAAACATCAGTTAAAAGTCTGCTTTTCAGCAAGTGTGTTAAGTGAATACACTGCTTGTACTGTTTCTGTTGGCTTGGAAACCAACAGAAATATATAAGTATATACCAAGAGAGAACATAGCGTTCACTGCACAGCACTTCCCACATTGTCTTTCAGGCTTCCTGCAACTGTTTGCCTGAATTAATTACCAGGGGACTTAAAGAACCTTGACCCACTTATGAATTGCTCCCAAGCACTGCCCTGCTTCATAAGCTGCTGTTCCAGCAAGGCTCCTTTCATCACCAAGCTGGTCTTTATGAATGTCCTCTGCAAGATGCACAAAACCCGTGGTCCTTCTGAGTGAAGGTGACTGCAACTCCACAATTCTAATGTGGTCACTCCAAGTGCTCAAACACAGTGTGACAGCAGGGGCAAGAACAGGTAGTTAGGTATTCTACCTGGTGATTTTCTATGAATGGTTGCTGCACTGTCAGAAAGGATCATTTAGTAATAAACGGACATATCACCAAGGCTTAACTATCCAACCAAAAATTTCTATGGCATATTTTATCCACAGAAGTAGGTATTTCTTTCTCTTACAATAATACAATAATTATTAAACAGCTTTAGATTCTAAAAAATGTGTTGCAGTATCTGGAATTTCTATTCTTATGTCGGAAGATGGAAGCTCAGAAATAGCATTGCAATCACCCAGTGACCCACCGTGAGTCAGAAGATGAATTAGGAACATGACATCTCATGTTTTAGCCACTTTGTATTAATTTTGTGGGCACAACTAAGAACTAAAATCCGAACAGCTATTCTCGAGATCAACATATTCTCATCAGCAACATAGATACCCAACCTGCTCACAGGCAGGGGAAGAGACAATTACTAGCAGAAAATGGTCAGAATGGAGTAAGCACTGGTATGAAACCTGCATGTCTTACAGTGCGCACATGTAAAAAGGGCTGGTATATATGTTGGATGTTTTGAAAGTGCTAATATGGCATACCATCATATATCAATCAATTTCAACCACAACATACATGAGTATTTAAAAACCAGAATATTTTCCTTATTTTTTTCTTCTTCTCCACAAAATACTTACGGGTTGCACTTCTTCTTCTTCTCTTCTCCGTAAGCCAGATTCCTGCATCCCTTGATGCAAATTTCTAAGATACAAGCTTTGAAGATGTATCTTATGGCAAACTCTATTTCTCCTGTGACGTTAGCCTTGCCAAAATTGCCAGACTCGGTGCAAGTGCTGTTAAGACTAAACAAACTCCCCTAAGAAAAGACAAATGTTTGGGAAAAGCAGCTTCAGATTAAACAGGATAAAACATTTATTTCTCTCAAAGGTCAATATCTTTACAGACATGACTGTAGAGCTACTGCAAATCACAAAGATTTAAGGTAACCTGTACAAAACATTCTGTTGCTTCCATAACAGCCCTGGAAATTATGACCGCAATTGGAACTCTGCTGCTTTGCCTTTTTCTCTTCAGTAAGCTCCCTAGGCTAAGAAAATGCTTTATTAGGTAACTTCTAGATCTAGAAATTGCCCCCAAATAAAACTGCTATGTGAGAAAAATAGGATAAGTGTCTGAAAGGGAGTGAAAAATCTCTGAAATCTAAGAACATACAAAACATTGAACTAGACTGCTTTTAATACACAGTTCATAGTAGAATACACTGCTGAGATGTTACGTTCTATCATGTATTAAAGAAAACAAAAGTGGCCTTGCACATCCAGTAAATAGTCTACAAGATGCTCCAATTCCATATAAAAATTACATACTCCATGCTGCAGCAGACCATTCAGGAAAGATTAAAATACAAAGACATCCAGTTGTCGTATGTTGGCGCATAAAGAAGGTGTTTCCTCGCTCGCCTATGGGGCAAAGGTTTGGATGCTGTCCATCCACATATATAAACAGCATTTGTGTCTAGCATTTACAGAGGCCATGAAACTGCAATGAAGGAGGAAACTATAATCCTTTCCGTGGCCCAGCAGAGACATGTAATTTATGGTGCTAACTAGCCTTTACTGTAACAAATTATCAATTCAATCAAAATAGTTTGGTCTCCATTCATTTATAATGATATTCTTTAAGGTGAGTCCTAGAAACTTTTTACATAACATATGCCACGAAGACACAATTGTTGTGATTAATCTCACAGCAACATTGCCCTAGATTGCTAGGATATCTGTGTTAGATCACGCCTCCCTCTGAAAATAACCACCACATAGGACTGGTTAACCAAGGAGTTCTGCATTGCACAACCCAGCAGCTGAGAGCGCAGAGTAGTGTTTACAAGATCCTGTATCTCTTCCATGCAGATGCTCTTCTTTCTTTGTGCAGCTTGCCAAATATTCATTTTAAAATTCACACCAACAGCTTAATTAGATTAAAGAAGCTATCTACTCTGCCTTGTAAGCTCTAAGTAACATACAAACCTGACAAAGGAAGTGTCAGAGTGCTTACGGAGGAAGGTCACAAGAAGTGTTAAGACTGGTTTTACCTGATGCTTGTTGCATCAGGTATTCTTGCTCCCTCCATAAGATGTGTATCAGTGTAATCAATCTCCCATGCAGCTTTGTTCAGCTCTGCTCTTTCACTCATTGACATATTTTTATTCATCTGACCAGAAAATGCTTATTTTCCATCAAAATCCTTCATGACAAAGGAATGCAAACAGATTTTTTTCTTAGATCATATGTCCTAAAAAAAGTTATGCAAAAGCCCCTAATATTTATTCCACAGAACCTCTTATTTATTTAGAAAGGCTGAATAGGTGTTCTGATTAATGATGCTTGGACTGAATATCACTACATATGTCTCCCACTTGATTAGGAGTCATATACATTCAATGGAGAAATCACTCTTTTTGGTTCAGTAAAAAGGGATTTAGCAATGACTTCATGTATTGCACTCCTGCTGGCATGACTGGAAGCAATGCCATCTGATATTTTGGAAGACACATTTTCATGGAGCAGTCATCAACATCCAACACTTACCTATAAGGGGAAGTTTAATGGAACTTGACTTTCCCCTTTATAAGACAGTAGAAAATATTTCAGTTTTAAGCCTGGGCTGTCTATAGCCCAGTTCAAATGGTTGTCATTAGAATCACAAATATCATCCAAAACTGTTATCCATTTGTCAGTTTAACACCTTAGACTCCACAATGCAGTGAACTATGAGAGCACGCCAAGGTCCTTATGTGTGTTTATACTCCTCTGCAAAGTGAGCAGGCTGGTTGAATTTTGATCCCCTAAAAGTCATTTGAGTTCCCTTCTTTACACCATCAGTCATGGATTCTTTGGATACTTCACCCTGCTTAACCTCATCACTAATACATAGAAATTAGCTTCCACAGTTAATTATAGAGGCTTTAAAGCATGTGCTAAATTCATTCACAACTGGCTTCCTCCTCTCTCATTTACAGTATTCAAAATGCCATCCATCAGAGGATGATTCAATGCCATCCCCTAAGCCTATGAACTGCTCCCCTGGTTTCCATCACCGCCAGCTTCCTCTTCGTTCACTGACATTCTGACATTTGAATTTCCACTGACATTTCCGTTACCGCAGTTCTTGCAGAATAACAAAACCCTTTTGTTAAATGAAGTTTTACGAGAAAAAGCTAGCTACTAGGTTTGAAAGAACCATGATCCCAACCTTAATATAAAATGGGAAGAACGTTAGTTGCATTTGCAAAATTCAGAAGAAGCTGATCTATCAATTATTCATTATTAATGGATATATCTATCTATAGGTTTGATTTGGCTTATGCTGCAAAAAGCTCACAATGTTACTATGAGGACTGTGCCAAAGGCAGTCAGTCTCAAGAGACACAAACTCAAGTAAAATTCTTCCTTCATTTTGTAACGTAACCCCAAATACACCAACATTTTGCACAAGATCTTAGCTTTTTTATCTGTCGCCATTAGGCACCTGTTCTGTTGTGCTTTACCCTTTAACTTACATATTTTCTGCCATCACAGAAAACTGCATCACTTGTGGGACTGGTTGTTATATCTTCTTCCTCACTGCAATTCCTTTTGGTCAGAATTTCACTGTCATTTGGGGCCCCACTGATGAGCTGCTGAAGACTGGGTGTACTTTTCATCTGTAAGAAAATCAGCAAGTCTTTCTTAAATTAAAATAAATAAATAAATAAAAGCCCTGATTCCTTCAGGAATGCTAGCAGAAGAAAATTCAGTAAATAGCTACAGTTCACTCTGCTCAACATCACACAGGTGGCACACTTTCAAACACAATGTAGTAACTTAATTTAAATGTTGATTTACAACTCTCTCATCCCAGCTAGTAGTACATTCATTATATTAATAACTTCCTAAAATCAACATACCACCACCTAATCTAAGGATCACTACCACAGCAGTTACTAACAACAGTCTACTAATAACACACCAAAAGTAGCAATACACTAATAAAGGCCTTATTAGCCTTTAAAAAAAACAGTAATTTTGGAGGAGAAAAATTATCTTGCCTGCAGGAAATTAAAAAGAGTATTTTGTAATATGCATGACACATGCCTATGTCTACCTATGCAAGAATGAATGTAAGTTGAAAGAGACTTGAAAATAGAAACAGACTCAAAAGTTCTTATTTAGCTTTGATTATAGAAAAAGTTTAAATTTCTTTCTGAGGCATTCTTGACTTTGCTTTGACTAAGTCCGTTCACCTTTCCAATCTTCCCCTTAAAATCCTGATAATTTTTGGAAAATTAAGATATATAGTAGCAAAACTCCTTGAGACTTACCTTCAACAACCTCTGTTACCAATAACAGCAGTTAATAGAATGAAGTACCAAAAAGACTAATACATATGGCTAGAAATATGCTGAAAATATATTTTAGCTCATTCTGGTATACCACTGGCACTGGATAATATAATCTATTAAAAGTATGTTCACAGTTCAACGGGTAGGAAAAGAGCGAGGTAAGAAATTTTACGTGGTTAGGATCTAAGAAAATAATTTCTTAAAAAAAATTGTATAACGGGGATTACCTGAAAAACTAGAAAGACTATAGTGTGACTGAATCGACAAAAAGGATTGGGACTCATTTGCATAAAAGAAACCAGTAATATATATTTAACAAACCTGGGAACCCCTCCTGCACAATCAGCAGAAACCCCTAAAGAATGGGGACAACAGAAGAGATAATATATTGAGATTACCTCTTAGAAAACAGGATGTGCAAAATCCAAACCAGTATGCTGTAGTTATAACACACAGAAATTGTTATACGTAATCACTGCCCTACCTTAAGAATAGATGTAAGAATTCATTAAGTTCTCTTTGTGAGAAGGACACAGACAGAAAATGCATTCAGAATATAGTCTCAAAAAAATCCCAAACAAACCCAAAGCATCATATTTCTCAGCAGAGAAATTGTCTTCTGCTTTATAGAAACCTGAAACATCACCAATTTCACTTACTAACCAAAACAACTTACTACACACTGAATTTTAGCTTCCACTTGGATCAGAAAGAATTCTCTGTTGTGTTAAACAGAACATAAGTGATTGACAAAGTAAAACTTGTGCTAACAGTGCTAAATTTAGCATCAGGTCACATAAGCAAGATTCCCACCTAGCCCAGCTCTAATGTCTGCAGCAGCATGCATCCACTGTCACAGGAGGGGTAACCCACAGCTACCGACGCACCACAAACAGCTTCCAAAGCTTGCGCATGTCTGCTTGTTCCCCCAATGAAGCAGGTATAATTGCAGTTCCTTTCATGAACTTAGAGATTCTGATGGTGAGAGGCCCCAGAAAACACTCTTCAATTAACTTTCTAAATCCAGATTTTACATTGGCTGGTAATTCTTGCCATTGGATTCTTTTTCACTATTACTGAAGTTAAATATAATCTCTTTCAACTTTAATCTGAAGGAATCAAGCTCCGAACATATCACAAATTTGCAAAACTTACGTAAGAAACAGATAGTGCTCTTGAGACTGAAGTGGTGCCCCAGTCTTATACCCTGCACATTCAAAATGGCAGAGTTACAGCTATTATTTCCCAGTCATTCCTAGGACAAAAATGCACACTTTCTAGGGGAAAAAAAATACTGTTTCGATTCATTCTCCGAAAATGAAAGTTCATTCTGGGGTGGAAGTCACAACAAGTAAGATTTCTACATTGTATTTTGTTATAAATTTGAGTAATTAGTTGTTTTGCAAGTGTAATTTAAAACAGGTTCTGTCCCTAAACTTACATCATAGTTCTAGTAAGGATGTAAACAGCTACCCTTATTAAAGGAAAGCAAAGATGGAAAAGAAAAAAATACATTGAAGAATAATGCAATAGTGCCATTGACAGAGATTAAAAATAAATTTTAAAATCACAGTAAAGCTACAAAAAGCCATCATATAAGTGCAGGGACAGACAAGTAAAATTTCCTTCAATATTAAAAAAAACGTAAGTGGCAAAGACAACATTCACAAGAAAAAAAAAAAAGGTCAACAGTAATTCTAGAAAAACTGAAATTCTAGCTTAAATATAGTCTAACTGGTTTGAGTGAAACAAAAGCTGCCTGACTCAGAGAAACAGTGCTCTGACGCACAAACAACATTGAAATCTATCTTTCAAAATCTATAATGCAAAGGTTGGACATAAATTAACTTCTAGTTTAAGTTAATATTATCTCCAACTCCGATGTTTTTCAATGCCTTAAAAGAGCAGTGCTCCGCCAGTGGAATAAAGTAACACTGAAGTGCAGTTTGTCACAATGAAAGCAGCACTCGGGTAGTTAATAATTGTTGCCAATTTTGTTTATAATATAATCACATACAAAAATACCAAAACTAATTTCTCAGAGTTCACAAACCTTACTGGGGCAATTCAAACCACTAGTCCATGTGGTTTGACATCCTGTCTCTTCCATTTATGAACACCTAACACTTCAGAGGAATGTGAAAAGTGTGCACCAAGGGAGCTGTGAGTAATATTTGCCATGAGGTCTGGCCCAAAGCAAAAGTTTTTCTCAGCATCTAATTCAGGCACTTAGCAGACCACATTTGCCTCATTCAGATGGACAAGGCAATTCAGTAAGTACCCAGTATGTGGAAAATTGAGCATGGACAAAGTTTAGTCACTTGAAAGTGTACAAAAAGTCTTCAGTGTAACTTTAAAGCAGCTATGTGACATCATCTTCAGCCCTGCACAATTTGTGGAAAAACAGATGACTGGATTTTTCTCAAACTTCTCAAAAAAACCACTGAAAGCTAGAAACTGTAACCAAAGCAAAAGGAAAAGGGAAGTTGCCCAACAACTAACAGCAGTCAATGTTTTCTCCTTGCCAAATTAAGAAGTGCTCAGGAAGTGTCAGGATGGGGTTTGGATGGTCATAGTTTGGCCCTGTTCAGCAGCAAGAGGGGCACTAGGACAAGAGACAGAGCACCTCCCTGCAGCACAACAATCACACAGAGCAAACATCAATCAGCCTCAAGAGAGTCTGTGAGAATCTGAGAGCAACATGACCCATCCTCTCCCTCCCTATATGAGGGTCTTTGTAAATTCTCAGTCAAACATTTCAGCTCTGGGCTGAGATCAAGTGTGCAGACTCAGTCAAAAACCTTGTGAAGAATCAGAGTTCTGGCCACGGTCAGTGATCAGCTATGCCCTGCTTGTATAATAAAAGTAAAATTCCACTGTGTAAGTCATTACTCTTACAAATATATTCCATTCCTGAAAAAGCCCTCACAGTTAGAGACTGTGTATAATAATATGGATACCCTGCTTGTAATGTTGATGGCAGTGTCAGACTGGCTCCTTCTTTGCTTCCTTCTTTCCACATTCTGCCCATAATCTGTGGTTAGGAGACGTCTGTCAGCCATATCATTCTGGGACTTAGAGATTTCTGAAGTGAAAATAAAGAGAGAAGTCACTATAACAAACATTGCAAGCAATCCTGTAGATTTATAGGCTAATTCTGTACCATCCAAACTTTCACCCTGCAATTTTAGTATTGATCTCCTAAGAGTAAGAAACAGATGGGAAGGTAAGTGCTTGTCCCATTTTGTATAATTATATTTTGCCTACCTAAATCTTTCCTGCTGTTTCAACTGGAAATTATACTCCTTGCTTCCTATCATTATAGCTGCTGCAAGGAATTGTTGTATGCTGTCAAATACAGTTTCTTTGCAGACTTAGCACAGTCCCTATATATAGTTTGATTTGTAAAGCAGCTTGGTTTGGTTCAGGATAAAAGCAAGATCATTATAACAACATAAAGCGACATGACAATGGAAATTAGAAAGCACAGCATATTGGAAAATATTTAGAAATTTATCCAAGATATGGATGAAAGGAGAGATATTACATACTCTGGTCCCAAACCACATATAATTTTAAGAACATGAGTAGCCCGCATTGACTCCAATAACATTACTCATATGGATAAGCTTATGTCCATACTTAAGTACCTTATTGAATTAGCACTTCAATAACATCTAGTTAATTGTCAAATAAATCTATATGACAATTGGACATTTAGTGCACCACTTTTTGCTTCTTATTCCTCAGGGTACAGTCAGAACTTCACTTAAAGGGAAAGGCAGCACTCATCCGTGATTTCTGAAGTTGAAAACTAGCAGGCTTAGCAGCAGACACTTTGTTGTAAAACCCAGATAATCTCTCATGAAGAATTAATAACTTAAGTGGCACACGAAATAGCTATCATATGTTTAATTCATATAGAAGAAATAAATGTTTCTCTCACAACATAAGCCTCTGTAGAGGAACCTCAGACAGCAGACAATATGTCATGATGCTATTCAAAACGAACAGCACTCTTAAGTGTGATTTTTAAAGCCACTTTGGGTTAGTTTTGTTCTTAGCAGCAATTAGTCCTCAGATGATTACTGTACTCTGTGTACACCATTAAGGCATCATATGACATAGTCACAAGCAGGCTCAATTAAGTCATCTCTGATTGTAAATGAAACCAGGTTTTTAAAATACACAGTGAAACCAGAGATCATAAAAGAGACTGGAGTGAGAGATCTAATGGAGTAGATACAATCTGAGTAGCTTGACCAGCAGTAGAAGCAAAAACACAACTCTTCCAAAATGAACAGGTTACAGAACAGGTTACTGTGAGGAGAAAAAAAAAAAAAAAAAGATTGTTCATTTTTCATATCTATTCCTCCTTTGGCTTCTCTACCCAAATGGTCACGAAGACAGACACTATCTTCAGTGCCAAGGGCACTGCAAATAAAGCTACATTTTATTTTACATTTTGCACTGCAAATAAAACTACAACCAGCAACTCATTTTACATTCACCAAATGGTAACCACTGGATTATAATCTCCTGTTGTTGCCAAACCACTCTGAACCAGGAGGTAACAGCATAAAGAGCAGACTGTACAACAGTGGCACTGTGCTGCATGCACTAATCCTTTGTTCCCACTGCTCTCAGACATGCTCACACACTGGCTCCAGTGATACAATCAGAGGTATAACGAGGTTCTCCAGGTTTATTTACTGCAATACACAAGAGCTGGGTGTATTAAATACCTCTGCAAACCAGGACATTTTTATCTAGATAAGATATGTACTAACTTTAGACACTCATGACCGAAAGCATTTATCAACACAGCACCGGGTTTCATTAAGAGACTATATTGTCTGAAAGATCTGTTTTCTTAAGTCAAGAAGCCCAAGTCTTTCTCTCTGTAAGACTTCCTATACTTTTTAATTAATGACTGCAGTGATTGCAACACACTGTTATTTTCTTATAAATTAAAAGGTTCTACCTTAACTGAGGATGATAGCACCTGAGTGGGGTTTCACATACAGCTGAACTGAGCTAACAACTTGCTGCCAGCCCCCTCTGCAAGCAGTGGTTTTCCCTCCACAATCCCTGGCTCCATGTGGGCCAGCACCCTCTGTTGTGCAGGCTCCAACATATATACCCTACCTTGAGCCTATTTAACTCACTAAACCAGCAGAAAAGTACCGATGTGTTTTGTCCGGGTTAATGTTCTGCCCTTTTATTTAGCTAAATCAATCTCCACAGGGGTCCAGAAACACTGGTGCTATTTCAAGTTAAGCAATGGCAGCATAAGGACAGAAAGAGAGAGAGAAAAGATGGGCGGGGGGGAGTAGGGCCTTCCTTTTTGTAGCAGTTAACTATTAAATTAGCTTGCTACAGTCTTTACCATTAACTGTGAGATACGATCAGGTTTCAAACTAACAGAAAGCAGAATAAATTACTTTACATCCAATTCTGTGCTGCCTCAGCTATCTTCTTCCAGTAACAAAGTATCCTACACCACACTACACTACACTTCTGTTCAGGAGGGACAGCCACTGTGTCTCTGCATAGCTTTAATATGTGTTCACACAGACACAAAATTAAATTTGTCTAGTTAAAGGACAGCAGACCTTTAGGATGGGTGGAAGAAGTTAGAGGAAAGACCAAATGAGAGCTAAGACAAGAGTCAAGAAAGGCAGAAAGACATTAAAGCCAAATTTATCCAGGTCTCATCCCACATTTACGGTTGTCCAAGATGAAGCTAGTAAGAAAACACTAAGATTCATTCAAATATATGCAAATCTGCAAGCCTCTGTAATCTTCATACAGGTTCAGAAGTTGTTTTCCTCTGGTCACTGATGCCTTTAATTTGTTCTTCACAAAGGCTGGCTGTCCCCCATGTAGTTAGCCTTAGAGGTGCACACACAGTCTGCACCCTAATGAACAGCAGGCAACATAAGTGAATGGAAGGAACCAAAAGTATCAGAATGAAAGAAGAGTTGTTAGGACTGTCTGGCTCTTACAAGTATGCACTGAAAAAAACCCACACAACCAGACAGACTGAGAAAGAGGAAGGAAGTCCTCTTGAAAACTGCCAGTGAATTAAAATATTAAACTCTACTTCCATTATGTGATAGATTCTTTGACAGGGTCAGTTGGGGTTCAGTCAGATAGGTAACATGGAGATCACTACAGTAGATAGTGGTTATTCCTCTGTGCTAACATGAGTTAAATATACTGAACACCCAGTAAACTTAAAAATAACATTTATACAGTCTTTTCACAGTTTTACAAGAAATGCATTCTGGGTTGGTATCATCAGCTTGTTAAACAACTAGCAGAATACTGAAGGGGAATTAGACTTACTGTATTATTTTTCAGGTTGGCTCAGTCTTGGCATTAGTCATTTCAGCCATTACTCCATAACCTTTTTTTAATAACTATTTTTTAGCCAACAATTTGGCCAAAGAATTGAAACATTTGACTATGTTACTCTAGAATGACAAAGCAGTGAAAGCTACTTACTTTTTATATGTGTTGTGAGAGACAAAAACAAGTTTTCCACAGATTTATTAAAACTTTTAGATTGACTGAGTTCCTGCAAATGGGAGATGCCAAGAGTAAGAAAACACAAGATATTTGCTGTTTTAAAGTTTCCATGCTTATATATCTACAGACCACATAACAATCAGATGGTAAGGCTGCAGCTCTTTGCTTACTTCTGCAGACAAATACATCTGAGGACACATGTTGACATGGCTGAAAACTGTCACACTAATGTATGAAGATGGTAAATAATCTTTTCAGTTCCACACTCTTTGATATGTAAGTGGAACTCCTCATAGGAAGATCACACAGCAGTTTAATAAATACAACTAATTACATCATCGATTTGCTGTAATGTCTTTAATACTTCAAATAGGAAAGTCCCATCTATTACAGATGCTCCTATGCCTCCAAATCAAAGAGTTTTCATCAAACTCCAGGTAAGCATGTATTAAAATGTTTAGAGAATTACAATAGGCTTCAAAACCAGGGCCTGAGGACCCAGTCCAAAATGAACTGAATAGCAATTTAGTGTGATTTCAATGAGTTCTGAACCATGTCCTACTATTCTGTCCACTAGAAACTGTAATGCAAAGGCAAACATCAAATTCACTGTTTTTCACTCAGTAATGAAAGGAACACATGGAATGATCACTTTATAAATGACTACTATCATAGGATCATGGGATCCTTCAGGCTGGAGGGTAGCTCAGGAGATCTCAGTCCAGCCTTCCTGTAGTGAGGCACCAAAAAACAGGTGCAATATTGTAGTACCAAGTAGAGTCATTAATCACTTCCATCAAAACCTGAAAACTAATTGAAAACATCCCTCATGATAGCCTCTGACCTTTCTCTCCTGCTACTAATGCAGCATAAAAAAAATTACAAAGGAACACAAGGCAGCATTTATATTACAGTATGATGTGAGAGCAGTTGCTGTTTACTGCGTTTCTGTGGCTTGCCTTTGCATATGAATGACATCCTAAGAGGTACATGTACACGTATACGTATATTTTGCAGAGACGTACATTTACCGTCACGTTGCTTCCCGCTGCGGATTCTGTGAAAGGAGGTGGAGTTGGAGGAACAACAGAAATTTTACTAGAAATTTAAGAGACAATAAACAGTGCAACAATTAATAGATAAATAAATAACGTTCATGCATGTATCTTTATTATCTGTCTTTCCTGCAATCTAAAGATCTGGGTTGAAATCATGTGTCTTTAAGAGTTGCAGCGCAGGCTTACTGCCTCTTTGCAAGAATTAGGACTACCATCCTATCTTCTCAATCTTGGGCTGCTCTAGGCAGAATTATTAATTTAAAACAATCAGGAAGATCTAATTTAGGATAAGCTTCCTAGACTTCTATATGGTTGGCAGCATTACAATGTGTGTCACAACTGTTAAAACACAAATACCTGTGTAACACACCCCATCTCTGTTTCAGAGATGTTTTCAGAAAACAGTCATCTTTATTTACAATACTAAAAGGATCCTTCCTTGCCTGGGCCCAGAGCAGTCAGAGCCCCTCTAGAGCATTCCGGCCATTTTGTCTATTGTAAATAGCCCGGTCTGTGAAAAAAAATCTGTTATCTGACTGACTCTTAACATGGCACAATCACAGACCCTAAAGGCAGCTGGTGAACTTCCTTTTGATTCTCTTTTACCACATTTAAGTAAAAGCAAGTCCTTATGCAGCCCTGGTTAGAATCATATCTAGCTAACTCTAAGTTTCTGTCTTACGCATCTATGCCTAGCCAGATAATGATCATAAAATTGAGGCCAGCTCTTTGCATCTTATTTTACCTTTTTTTTTTTTTTAAGGAAGAGGGTTTCTTTTATACAATATAGTTTGAGTAGACTGTTATTTCATTATATATCACTAGTAATAACTTAAGTATGGTCATGCTTAGGCCTCAAGTCAAAGTATTTATTCACTGAATAAATCCAGCTGGATTTTTTACTTAAGTTTGGTAAGTGGATGCATCTTACTGAATGCGGAGCTTCTTGTCTACTATTTATTCTAAAGCTATCAAATCAGCAATGTCTCCCATTGAGCAAATAATGATGCTATTGCTGTTATACCTAGAAAATAATTTTCATCTCTCATCATTTAAACGCAGTGTGTAACTTTGAAAGATAATGGTGTAAAAACCTACACAAAAAATATGAGCAGATATAACAAAAATAATGCACGTCCCTTCATTTCAAGTAAATAAGAAACTATTACTCTAAACATAGTACTCTCTTTTGTACTTGAGACCCTTTCTATTGATGGCTGAGAGAGAAAAGTGGCAATTTTTCTATGCTTTTTTCATTTGTACTCCAAAAGTATATTGAAATTTGGTTTTAATAATAAAAAATACAAACTGCTGACTGGTTTATAAGATACAATATATCCCCTACACAAATTCTCAGTATCCTAGGACCATTTCTCCTTTTATGACTCTTACCTCAGTTTCTGATAAGATTTCAAGAGCTTTGCACCAACTGTTTCATGTCTGCCTGTGAAGGAAGAAAAAACAAACAAACAAACAAACACACACCCAAAGGTCATTTTGTAACAACAGCAGTTACTAACACCTGTATAATACTTTTCAAAATCAGTGCCTTTCAGGAACTGGCCTGTATTTACAGAAGCTCCTGCACATGCAAGTCAGGAGTGAAATCAACCCTCATGTGACATATCAGCATACATGCCAAGCAACATGCAAGTTTCTCCTGTATCACAAACTCTATCATGACTTCACCTTCACCTCTCGCAGGTGACACATTCAGACCAGCTCTTCACAAATGCTAAGGACAATCATGTATGGATGTGAACAGGCCCATTCCTACAGGTTGCCAAGCGCTCTTAGCTGCCTGAGGTCCAGGAGGCAGTTAGTGCACGGGCCCACCGCACTAAAGCACACTTCAACCATAAAACTCAAACACTATGGAAAGCTTGAAAAACGCATACAAGAGTAAGCGCATGGTCATCTCTTGCATCTTATGAAAAATTCTTTTCAATTTTCCTACTAGAGACCTGAACAATCATGAAAACGCATGACTAGCTCACAAACATGAGCAAACCCCTTCACTAAGGCCATCCCTGTGGGGAAATAGCAACCATGTCACGTTCCTCAGGTGAGCAGCCACATGATGTAAAGAACACCAAGGAGCAAGCGCTCCATCAGGCACAAACAATGAAGACTTACAAAAAGGCAGTTTGCTCCTGAGTAATCGCAAACAGAAAGAAGGGCTAAATGCATGTAACAAATGCCCAACTAACAATATCTGCAGTGCCTTTAATCACTAATCATTCCTAATACAGAAAGCAGCATGTAATCTATGCTTTGCTGAAGATATCATTAATTATAATGTATTACTTATATGTAAGTAGCAGACCTTGGTGGTGGTAAAAATAATAATCAACTTATTGATGTTACAAATTTCAATCAGAACTCCAGACTTAATGCTCTGTTATTACTAAGCAATATTTAGTATCTTAATTTACTGCAGCATTAAATGATTTCTTAAATTTTAAAATTTATTAGTCAGTAAAGGTAATATACCACTTTTATGAAAATATGATTTTTATGAAAATACGATTTTTATTCTTTAGGTAGAAGCTACACAAAATGAATAAAAAACATATTGATATAACTTTTTTTTTTTTTTTTACTCTGCAACATGAGAAAACTTCACTGCAACATGTAATTCTTCAGTTAAACTTATTTTACAGTGAATACTTCACTTGTGTTATATTTTCAAACCAAAAGAGGGCACTGTCTCCCTAGGCTTGAAGACGACATAACTACAAGTTATGATTAACCCCTTCAATTATATCAGTTGGTCTAATCAAAAGGAACTAAACAAAACATATTTCTTCCTGCAAGCTTATCTTCTGAATATCCTTAGACCTTTGTGTCTTCAACAGTATTACTAATAGACTAACTAAGCAAAATGCATCAAGCACCCACAAAGCTTTGATAATGCAAGGTGAGAACTTATTTCTTTTACTGGAAAGAGGGACAGTCAGTACCTTGCAATACCAGATTCTGTGTCTGAGAACAACATAGCATTTTCCAATAACTGTGAGAGATTGTTAAAAATACCAGCTTTACACTCGCTGAAAAGAATATGAGGGAAAATTATTAACAATGGTTATGGAATACAACTGTGCTTTAAAAGATCAGTCAACTAATACTTTAAAATCAGAAGTTCTGCTAGCTAGAATGGAATTCAGTGACATCTTTCAAATTCTAAATGAATTATTTCAG